GGCCCTGCTTTTGCCAAGTGGCCCATTCTGCAGTCCAGTGAATGGGGACCTTCACAGTCCCTTGCTCTTGGCTGGAGCGCGCAACAGGAAGGTAAAACAGAAACTCTGCCAAAGAGCTGGAGGAGGGAGGAGGGTAAAGAAAGAAGGACGTGTGGAATGGGTGAGCCCGCTCTCCACTGGACCTTCTGCCGGGACCCGTGTGCTTGGGCAGGAGGCAGACACATGGAGAGAGGGGCCCAATCTTGCCCTGCACAGAGCTTGCCTCTCAGCCTCCCCAAGCCCTTCTCCCTCTACCAGCCTTAGCTCCTCTCCATCGCAGGAACTCCCTATTCCTTGGGCATCCAAGGGGCCTCCGGAAGTAACCTTCCTCTCCTCCTTTCTGGTTCAGGCCTTGATACTCTCCTTCATGGGCTCTTGTGATAACCACCTAACTCATCCCCTGTCTCCACTTCCTCCCACCTCCCCTCCCCCCCAGACCACCCGCCTCCTGGATCCCAGGGGTTCGTTCAGCATGCTTCTTGCAATGCATATAGGGAAGGGCAGACTCTTAGGCATGGCATTCAAGGTGCCCCATAGGCTGCTCTCAATTGCTCACTATTCCTCCATCCATACTCTATGTTCTACCAGACTGAAGTAGTCTTTGAACATCCCCACCCGACAGCGTTCAGACATCCCCGCTACTTCCACGTCTGTGTCTTTCGCTCCTGTTGTTTCACTATCTGCCTGGAATGCTGTTTTTCTCCCGTTCACATCCCTGCTTATCCCTCAAGGTCAGGCTCAAATGCTACTTCTTCCACAAAGCTTTTCCTGATCCCCTGGCTGGAGGTAATGTGTCCCTTCTCAGAGCACTGAACTTGTGCCTCTCTCTTAGCACACGCCCTCTGTCTCTGTGCTGGACATATGCATGCGTACGCTGGTTATGAGGGTGAGCTTTGCAGTCAGGCTGGCTACTCTGCCACATACCAGCTCGATGACCTTGGCCAAGTCATTTGACCTCCCCACGTCTCATTTATAAAATGGGAATAATGGGAGTACAACTTCTCTGAGTTGCTTTGGCAGTTAAATGACATAATACCTTATATGTCTAGCAGATCAACGAATGTTAACATCAATAAATATTATTATCTCCCCTATTGAACTGTGAGTTCCCTGAAAGCGGGATCTGTATCTGTTTATATTTGTAACTACATTACTAGTGTCTGGTCAAGTGCTTTAAACATAGGGTGAGTTCCATTAATGTGTTCTGTGAATGAATGACTCATGCACACCAACCCGATCAATCCGTCAAGAGTTTGACGAGCGCCTACAACACAATGGGCATTGTGTTCTGTGCTAAAGACAGACGTCAACCATTTAATCTTCACAGCAGCTGTATCAAGTAGGTATTTTAAAACTCCCATTTTACAGATGAGAAACCAAGGCACAGAGGGGTTAAGTAATCTGCCTGGGTCATACAGAGCCAGGATGTGAGTTCAAGTTGACTTGCCCCCAAATCCTATGCTCCACGCTCCCTCATGGACCCGACCCTGTCCCTCAACACAGCTCTGAACATCAAAGGAGGCCACAACATGAGATCCTTTGCCAAAGTTTGTTTCTGCCTCAGGAAATTTGCTCTTTGGACCCAAGAGCTGAAGGCTGTTCCTCCTGTATCTCTTCTATCACCTTCTTTTCTCCTTTTCTTTTGCTTAGGCCCTGCTCCTCCTCCACATGTCAGAACCCTCCTGAACTTGTGGCCACCAGTGGCTAGATAACTGCCTTCTAGGAATACCAAGTTGTTCTAGAAGGACCTTCTCCAGCCCAAAAGAAGTCCCTTTGCTGCTTCGTCATGCCTAAGCGAGGAAAGATATTCCAGGAGGTGGCCTCCATCAACCCCCTCCTCCTCCAGGAAGCCTTCCTGGCCTGGCTGGACTCCATGAGCCCCTACACTCAGCCTTTACACACTCTGTTTGCTCTACACCGATACTGACTCATGAGGCACACCCCGTGAGCATCTTATATCTGCTTCTGTGTTCCTGTGTCTGCCCCATGTGCTGGAAGCCCTCAAGGGGAGAGTGTGTCGAAACAGCTGGTCCCAAGGCCTTGTGTTCATGCAGGGCCCCTCTGCGGTGGCTGGCGGGGAGAGTGATATGTTCCCTGCTGGCTTGCTGCGGCCCTGACCCCCTCATCCTAACGAAGAAGGGTGTCAGCTGCTGCTACTACTCTCCTGCCACATTTCATCCCCGAAAGCTGATCCCTGTCCTCTTTGAGGCAGGGGGAAAGGGCCAGCTCTCTAGACATCAAGCTGATTGAGCCAGGATCCCCAAACCCTTAGAACCCCCCCCCCCCCAGGGCTCACTTGTTACAGTGCGAATTTTATGCTCTGCGAAATGAAGAAATTCTGTTATTTTGGTTTTCAGGAACACACTCGTCTCACCTGGATTTTCTGGGCCAACAACAGGGCCACAGAACACCCTTAACAAAAATTAGTTTACAACCTGTTAATGTTTCCTTTTCTAGCAGGTTAACCCAGCATCTATAGGACGCAGGCTTCTTGAAGGGATTTAGTGGCATAAATGGATGTCGAACTCGCCTAGTATTACGAGTGCCCTTCCTGGACATTTACTAACCCTAAGGACAAAGCCAGGCAATGCACAGTCCTCCTCTGCGGTAGGGAAGATTCTGCCTACGACAAACACCCAAGCCCTACCGCCTGTCCTCACCCTCACTGGCTCATGACATAAAACTGTATGCCTTTCCCACCCCGTTGCAGACCTGGGGTTTCAACAAGCAAGCACCTTCCTATCCCAGCCACAACCAAGGTGCACTGAATTCCCCCATAGTCCTTAGAGGAGTCAAAGGGCCAAGATAGGCTAACTTAGCTCTACTTTCTCCTTTACTCCCATTGGGAAAACTGAGGCATGGAGATGCGGTTCAGCTACCTAAGGGCCGGGCTGAGGTGTCAGGGAGTGAGGGAGGCTCTAATACCTCTGCCTGTCACTCTGCTCAGTCTCATTTCTGGGCAGACTGGCACTGGGGAGGAGGCGGGGCACCAAGGGGCTTGGGGAGGGTGCAGAACTCTCCCATCTGAGTGTCATTCTGGGCCCCAGGCCAGGCATTTGGCTTCCTCTCCAAGGGAGTCAAAGGCTGAAGCTGCTCAGACAAAGGGCCAAATGAAAGCTAATGGGGAGCTCAGTGACTTCAGCCTCTCCCCTTCCTCCTCCCGGGGACCGGGGGCTCAAGTCCTTGGCAGGAGAGGGTGCAAATCAAGACCTGGAGCTCAGTTCAGTGCAGATTCCCATTTGCCTTTTTTATTCTCCTGGCATCCATAGACTGTCTTCCTCCCCTCACCCCCCTCCCACCTAGGGTGCTATAAAAAATGCAAATCAGTAGGATTTTAAAATTCAAGCCTATGCCAGGAACACCCACAAACCCTCTATTAAGGCATATCCTGAGGTGGGTGGTGTGGTCTCAGAATCCAAGCGTAAAAAGAGGACTCTGTTCAGTTCTTTCTTCAGCATGGGCCTTGGACTTCAGACATTATCTGTGATGACCTTGACCTTTCTTTCTGGCATTGGACAAATGAATGGGAAGAGTCGGAATTGTGTAGTGTGGGCTGGGGCTGACCATCCCAAACTGACATGGGAAGCATGTGAAAAGGAGAGTGGGAAGGAACACGGTGGAGACTCCTCTGTCCCTCACGGAAGTGGCATTTCTCTAGGTCACTCTCCCATCTGAGTGTCACCACAAGAAGGGCTAGAGGAGGAAGTCTCAGAGAAGTGACCACTGACCTGAGAAGGCAGACCCTGGAGTGGGACAGACAGGAAGAGTGCCTGGGAGCTTTGACCAGGAAGCGTCCCTGAGAACACCTGCTCTGCAAGCTGCCCTCCCCCCAAAATGGGCCCCAGATACAGCCGCCAAGTTTCCGGGGGAGGGGGCGGCTGGGAGGGAGTCCAGAATTTGTGGGTCTTAGTGGGAGAGGCTGTCACGGAATCTGGGGAGCCATGGGCCTAGGATTGCTGCTGAGAGCCTGGGCGTCCCTGGCTTTGGAAAGTGGGAAGGAAGAAAGAGGAGGAGAGAAAAGTGAGGAGTGGAGAGGTCAACTCCAAGAGAAACTAAAAGGGACAAAAAGAGGCAGGGGCAAAGACAGGAAGGAGCTGGGTTGACAGAGAGGCGGGCCTGGGGACCGGGGTCGGGTGGGGGGGGGGTGTATGCATATCTGTGTGAATTCGGGTGGTTGCAGGAACAGGAAAGGTGGCAGGTGTGTGGGGGTGTGGGAGTGGTATATGAAATCGGTGAAAATCACCCCGCCCCCGACTTGGGTGATGGCCGGGTCCCAGACTGAGATCCGTCTCCCGACCTCTGCACCCCTGGACTCCGCACGCGCCCTCCGCACTCCCCACGCCCAGCCCCGACATCTGGCCGGGCCCCCGCAGCTCCGCTCGCTCTCTGCCAGGCGGCGCCCCTCCTCCGGCGCGGAGCCCTCCCCCGCCCTTCCAGCTGCCAGCCCCCTCCCTGCTGGCAGACAAGCCCGGGCAGACAGCCGGCCCAGCCTGCCCCCGCAGCCGCGCCGGCTCTGCCAAGCCCGGCGGGGCTGGGGGACCCGGGTGGTGCCAGCTCCCCGCGAGCCAGCGGTCCCCCGGCTGCCCTCCGGCCCGCGCGCCCGGCCCAGCTCCCGGCGCCCCGCCCGCCCCGCGCGCTCCGCGGCGCCCCGAGCTCCCGCGCGACTGTCCGCCTAGGAGTGTGCCCCCGTTTCTCCCGCGACTTCCCCGGGCGCATCTCGGTCCGGGTTTGGGGCCGCTCGGTCTCCGCCGCTTGCTCGCGTCTGCCTCACTCTCACAAATCTTCGCTCCAAGTTTCCTCGCGGCCCTTTCCCTCGGGACAGGCTCGGCCCTCCGCCAGCCCGTGCCCTCCTAACCGGCTTTCCTCCGCCCGAGCACTCCCGGCCCCCGGGCCCGGGCGGGGGCCAGGTGCCGTCGGGGCGGAACTGTCCTCCCGGCCCCCGGCGCCTGCTGCGCTCTTACCAGCTCCTGTTTGAGGCGGCGCAAATAGCAGTCCATTTCCCTGCTCTCTTCCTCCTGCGCCCATTTGCCGGGCTCGGCTCCACAAGAGCGTCCCCGGGTGGGAACAGCGGCTCCTGGCCCCCGCGCTCCGCGCCTCTCGCAGCGCCGAGCCGAGCCTCTGCTCCAAGGCCCGGACTTAAGAGCGGCTTCCCTGGCTGGCGCCGCGCGCGGTCCGTGAGGGGGGCGGAGGAAAAGTGGGACAGCCTATGAGAACTCGGGGGGGATGCCTTCAGCCAATGAGAAGGGCGCACAGGGGGCGCGGGCTGGGCTGCGGCGAGCGGACCCTGCAGCCGGGTGGTTGCACAGCGCCGGGCCAGCAGTGGTTTGGGGGCTGGCCGCGGGACACCTAGTCCTGGCCCACGCGGCTGTGGGTATGTGACGCCAGACTGTACCGATGTGCCCCAACAAAGCACGTGACCTCCGTTTGGTGATAGACAGCACCGTCTTATGAGCCGGCACCGGGAAGCGATCCCAGTAAGAGGCCGAGTGCCTTAGGTTCAACCCTGTTTCCCAAACTCCGATCAGAAAAGGAACATCCTCCATCCAAGCAGCCAATCAGTAGCTCTTCTGAACTCTGGACGTGTGCTGGAAGTCTGGAAGTGCGGGTCTATCTCACCTCCAAGTGTAGGCTCCTCCCAGCCCAATCTTCACTGTGGAGCTGAGGAGCCGCTGCCAGGTCCATACACTTGTTTAACACAAAGTTGTTAGAGGCTATGCTGACTCCTCGCCAGGTGTGAGTCTGGGGTATGATACTGAATTAAGACAGGCAATGTGCCTGCTCTCAAGTACGTGCGTGGGGTAGGAGGAGAGGGATGAGACAGGTTAAAATAAAGAAGCACAATAATCTCAAGTGGTGATTCTTTGCGAAGACATGAAACAGGGTAATGGGATGGGGACTGCTTTCTCTCTTTTTTATTTTTAACGTTTTTCTTTATTTAAAAAAATTTTTTAAGTTCATTTTTGAGACAGAGAGAGAACACAGCGGCGGAGGGAAAGAGAGAGAGAGAGGGAGACACAGAACTGAAACAGGTTCCAGGCTCTGAGCTGCCAGCACAGAACCCCATGCGGGGCTCGAACCCACGAATGTGAGATCATGACCTGAGCCGAAGTCGGACGCTTAACCGACTGAGCCACCCAGGTGCCCCTTAACGTTTTTCTTATTGAGAGACACAGCATGAGCATGAGAGGGGCAGAGAGGGGGGAGACACAGAATCTGAAGGAGGCTCCAGGCTCTGAGCTATTAGCACAGAGCCCAACGCGGGGCTGAACTCACAAACCGTAAAACCATGTCCTGAGCCAAAGTTCGTGGCTTAACCGACTGAGCCACCCAGGCGCCCTGGGCTGCTTTCAGTAGGGTGAGCAGGGAGTGGAGGAAGAGGCCTTTCACTTCCGCACCAGCGTCAGTTATCCTAACTCTTCCTCAAGGGACCGGGGAGGGGAGGAGGGAAGGCGACAACAAGCTGCTCAGGTTCTATTCAGTGGACACGGGAGTTGCGGCAGGTGGACTTGAGAGCGGCAGCAGGCCAGCCTGGGCGCTCCTTCCAGCGGAGCTCTGGACCAGCCTCCGCGTGCCCTACTGGATTGCTGGTCCCTCCCTGAGCCCAGGCGCCACGTCACCCGCCCGGACCCTGGGGGGCGGGGGCAGTGTTGCAGGGCCCGAGAGTAATTATGGTAATTAGCGACGTGCTATTTCAAGGTAATTAACGGGAGAAAGTTTACCCCAGGTAGAATTTGGGGTCCCTGAGACACAACCATGCAGACGCGCGAGAAGTTGCGGAGAGAACTCAAGTGCTGCGTTCATTCATTCCGATCCGGTCAGGAAAGGGTGCCACTCCTGCTTACTATTGAAAGGCGAGAGAGAGGAAGGGAGGATAAAAACGAACATCATTAGAAATGAAGACTGCAGAGTCTCTTCGGATGCCTCCACTTTACCCCAGCTCCTCAGTTACAGGGGATCTTGCCCATGTCTTCTGGCCTAGACCCTAGTGCCCCTGTGGACGAAGCTGAGGCAGCGGTAGCCGATGGATCAAGAAAAGAAAGAGGCGTAGGCGGGTGAGAACTCCGTTGGAAGTCTGCCTCACGATGGCCGCTTGCCAAGCCCGGGTGCCCGGGGTCCCTTCGCAGTCCCTGCTCAGGATCCTGCGTGGATCAAAAAACCCGACGGTCACAGGAAGGAGCTGAGAATCTACGGAGACGTTTCCAAGCTGCCGAGTCTGAAATAACGTTTACTTCTTTTGTTCTTGTGGTGGTTCAGTTCCCGGAGGGAGTCTGGCCTCTCCAGTTCTTGCGGGCCGGCCCTGGGCCCTGCGATGGGCTCACAGGCTTCCTTGCAGTTAGGAGACGGAGATCCCCAAGGCGCGGCCCTTTCCATGGTACCAGAGGGATGTTCGCAGTGGAAGCCACCCCCAAGGACGGAGTTGCAGTCGCAGACCAGCTGAAATATTTCTGGAGATGAGTGTTCTTGGATTGTGATAGAAAGAAAGGGGGACCTGGCCATGAACATAATTCACACATAATCTTGCATGGGAGAACCACCACAAAAGCATTCCCCACTCCTGCGGGCCTTGCTCACTCTGAGATCTCCACCCCCAGTACAGTGACTGCTGCAGGAGGCAGTGAGCAGACACTTGCGAGTCTGTGGTTGCAATAGTCTTTAGAGGCAAATTTAAGGTCCGGTTTTGCCATCCCTGAGAGCAGTTGGCCTGGGATCCTCTTGGAAGTTAAGAGGATGGCTATAGTTCAAACTCCAGGAGATGCAGGCTGATCTGGTAAGAACTTTGGACTGAGTGGTTAGATCTCCTAGGCCACTGACAGCACAGTATGACTTGCACAAATGCTTTCCTTTTACTGGCCTCAGTTTCCCTTGCTTATAGTTAAACCTATGTGAGCCCAACAGTCTTACACTCCTTACAAAACTCTATTTTGACAACAATCTGTGAAATTATTTAAAAAAAATTTTTTAATGTTTTATTTATTTCTAGGAGAGAGAGAGTGAGAGAGAGAGAGACAGCGTGAGCAGGGGAGGGTCAGAGAGAGAGGGAGTCACAGACTCTGAAACAGGCTCCAGGCTCTGAGCTGGCAGTCAGCACAGAGCCCGATGCGGGGCTCGAACCCACGAACCTCGAGATCATGACCTAAGCGAAAGTCGGATGCTTAACCGACTAAGCCACCCAGGCGTCCCACTGTGAAATTATTTTTAATTGAAATATAGTTGACATGTTAGTTTCAGGTGTATGACATAGCAACACGACAATCATATACATTATGAAATCCATGTACTTTTATGGCCAAGAGAAAATCGATGACCATAGTCTCAGTGTGGTGCTCAAGAGAGAGGTCTCAGACAAGTCAGAGGTGCTATGACTGTGTGGCTCCCATAGGATTTTGGTAGAAAGTGACTGTCAAACTCTAAAGGCCTTTCATGAGGTTGGGCCATTGCAAACTTACCCTTGAGAAGTCTGACATTATACTGGGGCACGTTGGGGCTCTGTCTCTTTCTTACCTTGCTTCTGCAGGAATAGCTCTGTCATCTGGGTAGACCAGGAGGCAGGAGCAGGGAAATGGATTGCTTTCCATTTTTCTTTTTCTTTTCTTTCTTTTTTTTTTTAAGAGTTTAAATGGCAGAGAATAAAGCCTGTTGCCATAGTTATATAAACATGGGTAAATATTCCTAGGCTGAGGATAGGGGAAGTGGGACATAATTCATTTTTGCTGAAGAAGAATCAAATAGTTCAACCTCCTCTTTCCTGACCCTCAAAACTCAGCCCGGAGGGAGGATGAGATTATCTCATTTGAAAATAAAGAGTATATCAAAGGTCTGAGGTTGGTTATGAACATACTTTCTCAAAGCCACCCAGAGGTGGGGATGGGGGGGGAGGGGACCCTTAAATGGCCCCTCCGCATTTGCCCCCTGCTGATGGGGAGAAGCGTGTGATGGGTACTTTTCCTGAGGGAGGGGGGTGCAGCTCCTGGAAATGGTGTCTAAGGGTGTCAAACTGATGGGGTTTGCCCAGCCTACTCAGGGAGGGTGGCCCCATCTGTCCCACTGCCAAAGCCTGGAGGTCCTGGCGCCGATGACTGAGCTCAGAGGGAGAGGCAGAACCAGTTGCGTCCCAACAGAGCCCACATCCTAAAGTAAACAATGGAAACATGGCCGGTCTCCTGGCTCCATATCCCGTGCCCCCCAGCTGGAGGTCCCCACCCAGCGCGTCTTAGCCCGCTCTCTGGAAGATGCATCCCTGGGTGAGGCTGTGCCCGTCTCCACTGACAGCAGGAGAGCTGAGGAGTTCATACTGATGTGAGGAAAGACATACGTGGCCACACACAGTCTGGAAACCTCATCATAACATCGCCCTCCCAAGAGGGGCGTCCGTATCCCTCCTGCCCTCATGCCTCCACCCCCTGTGCCTGCCAGCGGCTCCCCACGCCTCCCAAGCATCAACAGGAAAGGCTGACCCTAGAGATAAACATGTGCTGTTGGAATGTGTTCAGATATCACTGCGGAACTGTCCCTCTCCAGGCAGAGGACCTCGCCTGGCAGGCAGGCCTGGAGGTGCTGAGCAGAGATTGCGGGTCTGAGTGTGAACATGTTAGAACGGCGGGGAGGGAACTGGAGTGAGGCCTAGTTATTCTTTTTTAACTAATTTTTAAAATCTACACCCAAGTTAGTTAGCATATAACGCAACATTGATTTCAGGAGTTGAATCCTTAATGCCCTTTACCCATTTAGCCCCTCCCCCCCCAACCACCCCTCCAGTAATCCTCTGATTTTTCTTTATTTTTAAGAGTCTCTTATGTTTTGTTCCCCTCCCTGTTTTTATATTATTTCTAGTTCCTTGCCCTTATGTTCATCTGTTTTATAGCTTAAAGTCCTCATATGAGTGAAACAATATATTTGTCTTTCTCTGACTAAAGTTGCTTAGCGTAATACTCTCTAGTTCCATCCATGTACTTGCAGATGGCAAGATTCCATTCTTTTTGATTGCTGAGTAATACATACATACATACATACATATATATATACCACATCTTCTTTATTTGGGCATTTGGGCTCTTTCCAAACTTTGGCTATTGTCGACAGTGCTGCTATAAACATTGGGGTGCATGTGCCCCTTCAAAACAGCACACCTGTATCCCTTGGA